GACAGAACTGTTTGTTTGTGCAGTCTGTGTCGGTGTGTGTGTGTGTGTGTGCTCTGAAGTTATGAGTTATTTGAACATGAATAAGTGGCCAGAGCAAACGAATTGCCGAACGAGAGCAAAAGGTCATCGGAACCAATTTAATTTTGCTTATTCCACGGTTTTTGATTTATCTCTGCTGCTTTTGGCCAGCGGTGTTTTTTTTCCTCGAAGCATGAACATTCAATTGGCTCGCGCAATGAATTGGCTAAAATGAAGACATTCATTTTAAAATTCTGACAACAACTACCAAATGGAAAGAGAAAAAAAACAACAATAACATGGCTTTTTGAAATGTTAAGCCAATAAAATGGTTGAGTTTTGATTTAAATCCGATTTATGAATATCGGGGAAATAAAACGAGAGAGAGAGAGAGAGAGAGAGAGAGAGAGAATAGATAACGGTAGCCATATATAATTGTGCATTGACACATATGGACAAATCCTGATTGAGGCGCAAATCAATAAGTTCAATCAAATTCGATGGAATGATATTATCTGAACAATCTTCACCTGTCAAACATATGTACAAATCAAAAGAGGATTAACATCATTTTCACTTTATATTCACTGTAGCCGCTTCAATTTAAATTACCGCACCCCGAAAATAAAATATGAAACATAACCGAACGCGGTTGAGCAGTGAATATCGCATAAAATTGCACTTAAATCCGGTTTTGAAAATCGGAAAACAAATACTCAAAACAAAATCAACCCTCATGCACTAAGCGAAAAGTGATGAACCCATCCGATATACTGGAATAAAATAGGAAACCAATAAATTTATTGGTTCAAAAGATTAAATGCGACAATAAAAACGACGAACACATCATGACGAGCCGAATGTGCCACATAGGAAACGTTTCATTCGCAGAACGAAATTGAAAAATCTCTTTTTGAAAATCTGTTCACCAAAAAATCTATATCCGAATAATTACACTGCATTGCACACTTATTGACTTAAATCCGTGATGGTTGCGTTAGTGTTTTCTTTTTGAATAAAAAAAAAGGGTCGCTCGATATGTCTGTGGCCATCGAATGAATTTAACCGTTAACTCTGTCTGTCGCATCTACCACAAAGTGTTTTTCAATTCAAATGATAACAATACGGCCGTAAAAAAATCAAAATAAATATAAAAATGAAATGACACGCATCGAAATCTGTTACGTTTTTTTGTTGTTGCTGTGCGCGTTTGTATGTGTCGTATAATTGTAGCCGAAATCAGCCTTATATTGACTAATTTCAAGTAGAAAATTTTCAACGCATACCCAACCCTCGTGCATGAATTGCTGAATGTTGTGATTGCGCACACGCACTGACGACCACTTGAAGCGAGAGAGAGAGAGAGAGAGAGAGAGCAAGAGAGAAGGGAGCGCAGCAACATCGTTGACTCATTGCCATTGCTGCGCATCGTACGCATGCGACATTTATAACGTCCCATTCAATTACAAACAATAGAGGCTCAATGACGGCAATAAAAAGGGATCTATTGCACAATCGCATTGCGCATATCGTACAATACCGACAATTGAGCGTCTGATGCACTAACTGTATGTGCGTTCGTTCACCAAATCCAATGATAGTTTGTGTGCGGTTAAATGATTATTAGATCATGTGCAGAATTGAACTAGATCCTGCCCTAGTTTTAGCACTTCGTCAAAATGTTTTTTTGTTGTGCTCTACCTAAAATGATGAGTTTGATCCGTACGGTAATTTTCCACATATGCTCGAGTACTTTCCTGCCACAGCATCATTGTGCACGGTGCGCGCAAACGTAGGAGCAGAACGATGAAAAAAAAATGTGCGTTGATCCTTTTTTTTCATCCGATTTGAATCAAAGAAAAGCAATGTTAATGCCTGCCCTTGTCGACTAGTGTACACGCGCCGTTCACCATACGCATACACACAAAAATACACCAGATGATCATTTCAAAAATGATAGTTTTTCGCTCATTGTGTATCAATTTGATGAAGTTATTGTTATTGAATGTTGGTCGGTGTATGGTGGAAATTGGGAGCAAATGTGCACAAGTGTTATTATTAATGTGGTTAAAAAACATGCAACATCCTGGCCTATATTCAAATAATAACATTAGTTTTCGTTTGCCAAGTGTGTGCATATGAGACGGGCAAGCATCCGATTCTCTCGAGAGCATTGAACTTTTTTTTCGGTTTCTTCCATCTTTATCTGAGTGTTTTCAATTTTCAAACTTTTCGAATCAGAAACAAAAATTGAAGCGAAAAAAAAACCGGATTCAAACACGAATTTCGAATAAATTTTCGGTTTTCGTTTTTCTGATTGAGTTTGATGCCGTGAATAGGAAGCGATGAATTGTGCACAAAACACCTTTTCAATCATTAACCATCATCGGGACATCGAAATGGCATAATCGATTGAATATTTTTGTGAGATTCACTCATTATTGTTCGTTTGTTCGTTCGATGGTCGGGGCGGTCGGCCGTAGTCGCACAGAAAAATGAAGTTGAAAATGAGATGATAAGATGATTGATGAGATTTCATTCGGGCTAAATAAATGCACATAATTGATTTTGTTGTGGTATGATTTGATGTTTCTTTGACAATTTTGCTACCTCTCTCTCTCTCTCTCCTCTCTTTCTTCCTACACGTCTTTTAAAAATGCGCATCTGATCGTACAAACTGTTTATGCGTTGTGACTGTAATCATCGTGCAGTAATCAAAAAATGAAACGACAACCGAATGAAGAAAAAAAAAACTCCAGCAATGACAATGTTCAAACAAACCACCCATCGAATTTCAAATGTGCACACACGAAGAATGCGCCATCGAATTGAGTGAATTGCTTGGGTTGCGTGTATATGATGAAATCACCACAAAAGCGGCGCTAAAAATACTCTGCACTTATTTTATTACTCTCCGGTCAAGATCTACCGATCGTTCTTCTAGTGTATTGAGCATATTTCTGCCGGAGTGTTTACTGGGAAACGGTTCTTCTGTTGCCCTTTTTTTCCTACTTCATCCATCTATTTCATTATAATCTTGTAAACATGATTTTAATGATAGACTGTGCGCAAATTCACAGTTAGAATCCAACCAAGCAACGATATGAGTTCCTTTGGGAATTTTGCTTTCACAAACAACAACAACAACGAAAAAAAACTCAACCACAACATCCAAATCGCAATCAGTTATTCCTATCACTTAATTTTTAAACGGAACAATTAAATACTCATTTACTTGGTTATTCTTCCTGTTTTACGAAATGATTAAGAGCGTGCAGAAAAATAAACGAAAAATGAGTGAAGAGAGAAAAAGCGAGAAAACATTGAAATATTGCATTTTGGTTGGGAACGGTTTGGAAAACAGCCAAAAGCGATGGTAAAGCAGTAGATTTTATACGATTCACACCGACTGCTGAATCAATTGGCCACTCCAATTGACCGTAAAATTTAATAAAAATTATTGTATTGTGAACGTTTTATCAGCAAGTAATTTTTATAAGTTTTCTGAAGTGGCTGCTTTCTCATGCGAAAAAAAGCGTACTGAATGCTGCCAAAACGAGCTGAACGATGGATGGACGAATGAAAAAAAAAAGGGCTACGAATGAATGCAGTAAAACAAATACAATCGGAAATGGTACAAAGAACACACCGAATACAAAATGAAAAGTAAGCAGATCAAGAAATCCTGGAATTGCCTCTAGCTAGAATTTAGTTTCACTTGCTGCTAAATGATTGTGTGAACATGAGTACATTGGCCATGAACGGCTGCTTCTGCCACTTCTGCCGCTGCTGCTGCTGCTGCTGCTGTTGCTGCTGTTGCAACAACTTCGACCGAAAGGTGTGGATGGATGGCCGTTTTGTTGTCTGCAGAAAAAATTGAGTGGCGTGTGAGTGCGCGCATATAAACGCAGTACAGATCGGCAATGGTCAGTGGCATGAAGATGCGTCCATCGAATACGTTTTTTTGGCGCGCGATTGTTCCTTCGAGGCAAAAAATATTATCCAAATGGTGAGCAATTGAAATAAAACCGCGTCATGATTTAAACCGATCGATGTGCAACATGTTTCTGGCTAACGGCTACTCCAGCCACCTTATAAACCGTCGTGAGAGCTGACCGAAGTAGCGCGCGCTCACCATAGCACACGATGACCGAAACTGTTCGTTCGGTCGGTATGAGAATGCATTGGGCCAAAGTAACACACACACACTGAACAAACCGCTCTTGCTCTTGCTCATTCTCTTTCGCTGCCCAACTGCGACACAAAACCACTAAAACAAACAAGATCGTCGCATATGCAATATAACACATAAACACATTCGAATCAATCGAAGCTGTGCGAAGAATCAAAACGCTTGCAGCACAGCGGCATTATAGTGTCTCATTCATTGAGATGCACCGAGCTCAAAAGCAATACACAGCCAAACACAAGCCAAACAGTGCGCAGCCTACTACTCGTAGAGGCACTCCGATACGGCCAGCTAGCATTGGCTCATTTTAACCAATATTCTCTCATTCATGAAGCGACATGTCGATATATATCCACTCAGACACACATACACGCTCGCAATAAGATCGAAATTCAATGGTAACATATCAGAAGCACGTACGTTTTTAGCCGCAAGCATCATCGCAATGAGGCGACGAGTGTGTTGTCTCTTATAAATGCATATACACACACGCGCGCACATTCGATATATTCGAATCGCAGACTTGAATCCAGCGATATTTCAATCCCTCTCTAACCAATGTGTGTGCGCGTGACGGTTCGGCTAGTTCAGCGAAACGGCGCGTATACTTGTGAACGATACTATGTGTGTGAAGCGGGCAAATGAACGAACGAATGCGAACAAGAGTGAGACGACAACGTCACTCACACATCGACACAAGTCTAACCACTAGCAGCAATATTTGAGTACCGCCCAAATATGCCTTCGGCAACTAGCCGCAGGTTTAATTCGACAGTTTAATTTAGCCTTCTGGTCGGATAGTATCGTCTGGATTGTGTGCATGAACTGAATGTTGTTTATACGCGCGCGTGCGTTCGTCTTTTTGATCGTATCGAAACGAATCGAAGCGAGAAAAAATTTCTTCAATGAATTTGTGATTTTCGGTGTGAATTTCGTTGAATACATTGCTGCAAATGACATAAATGAAATAAACGAGAGAAAAAAGCGCAAAGCACAAAGAAGTGACAATTATTATTTATTTGACTGATATCTCAAAGCAAAACGGAAGAAAATAAAATCATTATTATTTGTTGTGTTTTTCTGCTGTTGATGTCTGCCTGTGAACGAGCGGGCGATAACGAAAGTGATCAACATGGACCAGTGTACTTAATCTCGAGCAGAAAAGGAAGTTGACGATGAAAGAAAAAGGAAATGAAATGGCTTGCTGATTTTTCTACATAATCATCACAAATCATCGAATTGTGCGGCTGTCACAAAGGTGTTTATCGTTTCTGGTGGCTAAATTATGTCAAATGACAAGTGTTAATGTGACCCATTGAATGAATACTAATATTTCGTTTTTTGGTTTTGAAAAATGATTTAAATATCAACAAATACCGACCGACCGAATTGAAAAAGAGATAGAGAGAAAAACAAAATCAAAGCAACGACAAAATAAAAAGTCATTACAGAGGCCGACACAACTAGTGGACCCAGAATAAAAATTAAGCAGTGAAAACTGATATAAATAAAAAACCATATCCATATATTCTCTTCTTGAAACCGAGAACAAATAAGAAATAAAAAAAGAAAAGAGTTGCAAGTGGTGTGGCTTGGCACAGCAGGAATTATGGCATAATTAAATCAATATTGTGTGAATTTTTAACCAATTTTTGATTACAAAACCCCCTTAAATTGACAACATACACTCACCGGCTAAATTTTCGATATCCAACAAAACGCACACACACGCGACAAATCTGGTGTTGTGATTTATGTAAATCTTTTGGGCTATTCCATTCCGCTGCGTTATATTCTTTTCTTGTGGCCGTCATTGAACATTTATTTGAAGCGATCATATCGGAAACTTTATCTCCGAGTGAGAACGTGTGAATTTTTGATTGAGAAAAAAGAAACCAACAAAACAAAACAGCATAGCCAAATCTGAAAAATTAACGAGACGAGACAGAGAAAAAAATTCATAATAATCGAGAAGAAGAGAGAAAAAAGAGACTCTAACTTCGAGAGAGAGAGAGAGAGAGAGAGAAAGAGATCCAACGAAAAATAAAAAATTGGTGCTCCGAAGCGATAGAGATAGTTTGTCGGATAGTTTGGGAATTTCATTGTGTGAATTATTATTAATGTGATGACAAACATGAATAATCAAGTAATTTTTTGTGGTGGCATTTAATTTATGAGAAAGAAGAAATTCAACGGCATTTGGCAAATTAAGCGAATTGGTGTTATTGCAGATCGATTTTCTCAGAGGTGTTGATTACGGTGTATGTATCTCTCGCTCTGTGTGTGTCTTTTTTTTCCTCTATTCGTGTTGTTGGAGCGAACTAGAAAAAAAGAATAAGAAAAAGTGGATTGCGATCGTGATTTGATTCGTTCGGAAACATTTGATTGAACTTTGCTGCCAGCCGAACCAGCATGTATAATAACAATTCAAGTGTTTATGAATGTGATAACACATAATTTCAATTTGAAACAAGTGCATTCAAGAGACGTGTGTTACAAATAACAATTGGATTTTGTGTACGGATTTTTGTCATCGGCCTTTTGTTTGCCGGCTGTACAATTTCACACAGCTTCCGGCTGACCGAAACAATTTGGAACAAACAAAAAAAGAAGAAGATTTGAACTCAAACGGATTTCATCAGTGCAACGTTGTGTATTTCGTGTGCAAACGCAAGACAAATACACCAATCCAAGTTAGGACAAATTCAGCAAAAAAAAAAAAAATCAAAAAAACAAACCACACTGATCATTCAAAATGACGATCAGAGATTTACAGTTTGGCTCATTAGTTGCCGCATTTTTCCTATTGCTGCGGATACAATGTGTAAGTAATCGCCATATTTTTTTTCTCCCTTCATTTTAGCCTATTTATTTTGCTGGTTGTTTATCTTAATTTCATGTTTAGTTATTAAGTTGTTTGCCTCTTCAATGAATGACAATGTTCTCGTGCCAAGACGTTGAAACATCGACTTATCAACCGTGTGCATGCGCCGAAAAACCAAACACAACGAAAATATCATAATTGGTGTGCCAAGTTGGGTTGTTCAAGTTATTCTCACGTATTTCAACTTAACGATTACGATGGCATGGCTCTTTAATCGGCTTGCTTGTTTCGATTTTAATTGGATTTGAGAGACTTTTTTATTGGTACAATGAGAAGAAAACCGCACGAAAAAATATCGAAACAAAAAAAACGAAGAGTGGTGAATCAAAAAAAAAAAAACAAGAATAAGAGCCACTTGTTTGGTTGAAAACGAATTTTTGTGTGGGCGATCCATTCCAGAGAGCCTGTTGCTCTCACTGCTCCATTCATGCACACGATGTGTAGTGCTGTTGGGTTTTGGTATTCGCATGCATCTGTGGCTTTGGTGGTTTTCAATGCTTTAAAATTGGCGTTTCTATTTGTTGTTTATGTAATTGTGTGGGTTTTGTACAATTTTGAGTCGCTTATCTTGTACACGTCGTTGATGTTCAACCAGAAATCTTAATTTTCAACAATTTGATCCATAAAACCGACATTCCCATACAAAGTGCACCGATTTTATTTTTTCTGTTTGCTGTTCGATGGAACAGTTTTCGCACCGCATACCATTTCAGTTTTCAAGTCAATAAATATCTACTCAGGTGTTGGTTAATTGTCAAGAAAACGTATTTTCGTTTTAGATTTATCGACTTTCAAAGCGTAAATATAAAATATTGGTGTTATGATATATGCAAAACGAACGGAATATTCTTGCGTCATTTTCGTTGTGATTTTTTTCCTGATCCGAAATGTATTCAAATCCCCAAGGTATTCGTGTTAATGCTACAAACAGCACATAAAACAATAAAACAACAACAACAACAATAAAACGGAATGAAACTCGGCGACGACAAGAGAAAAGAAAAATTATGCGCCATCATTAGAAATGAATGAATCAAGAGGTTTGGCACTATGTTTCTGAAAGACAATTTACTAAATTGGAATGATCAAACAGTCATTCATTAGAATTTCACACGACCAACAATATGAATGAAGAAAAAACGAAAGGTGTGTGTGTGTGTGTGTGTGTGTGTGTGTGATCGAAATGCTGTATAGTTTTGGCAAAAGGGTTCTTGAGAGAATTCAAGTTAGAGTCTCATTCGCGCATGTTAATACAGGCATTTTCGGATCAGTTTGCATCATCGACATCGATATGTTAAATAAACGCTAATTTTATCTAGTTCTCTTGCCTTCAGTTTGGTTTTTGTGTCTGTTTCGTATTTTTGTTTTCTTGCTTTGATTGCTAATGTCAAACTGGCGATTGGATTGGCTTTTTGGCTGGTTGACATTAATTCATTGATTAGTCGCATCTAATTGTTTGTCGACTCGCCGCTGATAAAGAGTTATGTGGAATGAGTGTCAGCCATCCATAAATTTCCAGTTTGAAATGTACAAACCACAACACACAACGGTTCGATTTCCTGTGGAACGTTAGAGGAGGTCAAAGTCATCCGGCCAAAGTCATTCTCTTGTATCCACACATCCACAGTCTTAATTCATGTTTTACATGATCCGTTTCACAAAACGTTGTGCTTTTTTTTCTC